ATTTAATTAAATCAATTCTTAGCTTTTTTAAATTGCATATCTCAAAATAATGCCCAGGCATTATTTTGAGATGAGATGATATGATCTTTCTGCTTTTCATAGTTAGAATTTTAATGTGCTAATTATCTATTTGTCTGAAATGCTTGTTTAGTTTGTAAGAGACTAGTTACTGCTGAATAGTAGCTATTCTAGCGGGTCTCTCCTAGCATAGCTATTCCATAATACTTCTTATAAGTAATTTTCTGTTGATCTTGTAATTTGGCGATGAAATATTTGTTTCTTGTATTTTTAAAATAAGCAGCTAATTTAATTGCTTGGTCTATTGTAATTTTTAGGTTCGTGGATTTTTTAAATACTTTGTCTACATATAGGTTTAGCTGGTGCGTATAGCATAGTAAGAATGCGATGTTTCTATGAGTAAGTCTTAACCTTTGTCTAACAAATTTATTAATGTAGGTTAAAATGGAAATTGAATTATTGTATTAAAAAATTGTTATAGTAAAATTTTTTGTAAGCAATTATCGCTCTTGCAAATTAGTATAACAAATTATTTTTGTAAATTCTATGAATTCTGTAGTTTACAGTTGTTTTAACAATATTAATATTCAAAATTCATTTAATTTACAAAAAATGTTTATCAAAATTCTGTATATGACCATTATTTTAATAATAGTAATATGCAAGATTCACAAAATAATTTGTCATACTAATTTGCAAAGAGCGATTTTATTATGATTTGCAACAAATAATACCTAGATGCTGCATATGGTCTGGCACTATCCGTAACCACAGCAGAAACTTTTATATTCATACTTTTTAATTTATTAATTATTGCATTGGTTTTTTCTATAACTTTAATATGTGATTCCCTCTCTAAACTAATATCTGTAGCTTTCCATACATAAGGTTTCCCTCAGAAGTAATGATCATTACTTCTAGGAGTTGTTCATTATTTACGTTAGTCCACCTGTCAAAGGTCAAAGTAATACCTATTTTATCTTTACAAAGTGTATTATACATTGCTTCATTCTCTTCAGCAATAGCAGCATCCAAAAATTTTCCACTGAGGATCCAACACTCTGAAAGTTTAAGGTGAGAGTTTAAAAATTCAAAAAGCTCTTTAGCCTCCAGTTTATTAACCCAATGGAAGGCCCATCCACAAGATATTGTTAATCTCAATAATAGAATTTTGAATTTATCATTATCTTGCTAAGTTAACTCTCTAGCAATATAGTTGTCAATTGGTCTGTATATAGAGGATCGTATAATCTTTCAGAGGATTGTAGAGATGTATTTGTGATGTTAGAGAATGAGTTAAAAGGATCTATGAAGAAACATATATATATATTATTATATATTAAAACTAATGAGTTCTGCCAAGAGAAAATCTATGATCATGCTCTCTATTATATTTGTATACGGTTTGTCCTCTAAATACCATCTAGAAAAAATCTATAATTTAACTCATCACAAAATATAATTTTAAACCTGATAATAGATTTTTCCTAGACAGCACTTAGGGGATAAAATATAATTGAAAGCCCGATTGTAGATTTTCCTTTAGCAGCATCAAATGAACATTATATTTCTACTTGGTTGGTTGTTTTGGTTATCAGATAAATTAAAAATTTCTTTTCTTTGTTTCGGTATCGTTTTTTCATTAAAATGCGCATATTTTTTGAGATGCTGGACAATTCTACTGGTTTTGTTAAGAAAAAACGATTTTTTTTCTTCAACCTCACCCAATGCTTCAATACATGCTACACAGTAAAATTTATAATTCCATTTGTTAAGTTTTTTCTTGGTTTTAATAATATGTTCGTCTAACAATATTAATATTAGCATTTTACTGATTAGCTTGAACAAGTTCACAATTTGAAATACAAAGAAGCGTTTGTTTATAAATTTCAGATATTGGGTTTTTAGAAGTTATATTTATTTTATTTAATGTGTTTGATTTTGCTTAATGCGAATTTGAACTAACTCTTTTTTATTTATTTAATTTTTTTTATTCTCTATCAAATCTGAGAACTATATCAATATTTACCACAATGCGAGTAAACTTTTAATATCTACAGACTTTTTACATGTTATTTATTTTTACAAAATATTTGTCTGCATTACAGACGAAGAAGATACACAGAAAAGATTTATAAAATACAGTATTTTAATACAATTATTTAAGATTTAT